ACAGAGAAGGGAAATTATGATGCCATTTCCCAACAATAATATCTAAATGAGTAAATTTTTGTATGTCATTCCTTTCTTTTTTCAAAGACATATTCTTGTAGATTGATTACATTATCAATTGATACCGATCTTAGATCAAAATGTAAAAGTAGACCAATATCTCCTCACCTTATTGGAACACAAATAACTTGTTTAAACTCATGTATTTGTAAGTAAATTCTGGTATGATATTAAATAAATAATTAAATAGATGATATTATTTTTTTTATACAATAGTCGTACAAATATATAAGCATATGATTTCATACATATTATCCAAATCCCTTCACCAGCTGACCCTAATGGTTAAAATGGATGTTTATTTATTGATGACAAGGAATCAAATTTACAAAAGTAAATTAATTAGCTTCAATATGGGAAAATCGTGATTCACCTACAATTTCTCTAAAATTAAGCAACAAGTCTTGATCGATAGTATCATAGCAACATAATTTTTATTACAAACTTTGTAAATCCGTATATATCTTTAGTGAGTGCAGCATTTGATTAATGAATTTGATCCCACGCTCTCCTTTTTGTTTATGGATGTTGAGCTAACTTTTCTAATATCTATTATATTGTCTTTTCCTAACTAATTCCCTTTAACAATCACACCAACCTATAATCTATGTGAATTTGCAGGATGTATCCACCATAAATGCATGTTGGTTTTATCTAACTTCCATTTTTTATCATAAATATAATTAGATGTTTAAGTCTCCATCATGTACACAAATAATGTTAGAGTTATGTTACAGTCTCCGAAATTTTGTCCAAATCATGATCCGAAAAATTAAAATATTAATATATTTTTTTAATAAATTTATTATAAAATAATTATTTAATTTAATATTTTATAATTTAAAATATTATTTTATTCATTCGGAATGAATTTCAGCATAGGCTCAATCATTTTTCATAATGTTAATGTTGGTTAGAACTAGAGGTCCCCAACATATCGTACACTATAATCATTGTTGTGGATGGCAAATCCATATTGCTTAGTTTCGTATATTTTCATTATTTAAAATTTATAGCAAATTAATAGAGGAAAGATTTGCATGTATGAATTTGGGCCAAGTGAGCACCAGTGTAATGTAAATTATCTGATTTGCCCTTGTGTGGAAATTCTGAAGTTCTGAACTCTTGCAATGTATTTGGTGGTGAAGAGATAACAACAAAATGAGGTGTGAAAATAGGGAAGTAGCAAAAGAGAGTCTATTTTGGTATGTTTGAAATACTTCGGAAAGAAATAAAAAATATGGGTCTCACTCAATATTTTGAACTATTATGAAGTTGAAATAATTGATGCAAGATTCTAAATTTGAACCATATACTCATTGTAAGGATCAAAATAATTTCCAAAAAATAGCAAAGAAATGCGAAGCTACTATTCCTTTATATATTTTTGCACTTCATAATTAATTTCTGAACTTATAATTGATTAAAATTAAAATTAAATTGATTAAAATGTAATATATAGAACTTGTTTCCGTTATTCTTTTTTTTTTTTTTTTCTTTTTCCATTTCTACAAGTTCTATCCATTCTGTTTTTTTCCTTTCTACCCGATACTTCCTTAACTCTAAGGTTAAGCTTGATTATTGTCTTAACATCACACGTACAAGGATTTTTTTGGGATCATTTCACATCCAACAACTATAATTATTTGGCTCATTCTTGTTTGATATAAAGATTTTTCTTAGTTCACAAATATAACATTTCTCAAATCATATTTTATCATAGACCCTACTGATGTGAGATGTTAACAATCCACATACACTCTATCGATGTGAGATGTCAACAGACTTTCACAAGAGTCGACCAAAGAGGTCCAAAACAGAAGAATTTGGAAACATCAAAGCCTAACACAATTTCATGTAAGGAGCAGTACCAGCCCGTAGACAAATTCGTACAAGAATACAGGTGCATCTAGATTGAGAAAACAATGAATGTACATATATGATAAAGGTTTTGGAGTTTTCTCCCTAAGCCCACAATAATGAAATTGGTGTGGGTGAGGGAGGTGATTAATGAAAAAACAGGTAAAAGAAACTCTAGTCTATACAATCATCCTTAGATTACATAAAAAGATGGCTAGTGGCTACAAAGAAGGAGCATATCAAGTTTGCAATGATCTCTATATAATATTGTACTTTCCTGTGCTCTGGCAACTTCCTTTTCCACTGCTTCATAAATTACTTAAATGTTGGCTTTTTGACGAGCGAAACCAGGCTGAAAAAAAATGATAAGTTTGTTAGAATTTTCTAGATTAATTTAGATTTCTATTAGTGAATTTGTTGTGTAAAATCGAGTAGAATGAATAGCCTGTCACTTTTTATATATCCATGTTATATACATGTGTTAATTACGTTCAAGCCCAATTGGTAAGTGTAGTAGCTGGATTATAGTATAAAGACCTAGTAACCTAGGCAGCACCCGTGATGGGTAGAAAATCTAGGATTATCGTTACAATATAACGTCGGGATCCTTCCCTACTCAACTCATAACATTCTGATTGCGTACTTTTATCATCAAGTGCGTATAAGAGTAGGAATAGAAAATCTTATTTTTGGCATTATCACATTCTTGGAAATCCTAGTATTAATCCAATTAATTCTAACAAAGTCATCTACATCAGTTAGAAGGAGGACAGTGCATGGATCAGTATACCTGAAGAAGCATGGATGGAGGAGGTACAGTAGGTTCAGCAAGTACATGACTTCTAGTTTTTCTACCATTTAATGTAGTAACTGATGGACTATTAGTTGTGGTTATGTCCCAAAAGCTTCGTTTCTTGGCAGTTGGGGCTGGTGATCTGAAACGTTGACTTGGACTCTTCATCTCACTATTGTTTTGTTCCTTTGGCTGTCGGCTAGCCCTGGTCGTGACTCCCTTCCCCACTTCCCCAGTTGCTATTGTTTGTTTTCCACCCTTTTGTGAAAGCTCACGAATAAGATCATCTTTTTGCTTTAGCTGCAAGCTATGATCCTTCTTCATTCTGTCCATCTCTGCCTCTAGTGTTTTCACGGTCCGTTGAAGTGTCTTGATAGCTAGATCAGCTCCCTTCTTCTTGGTTTCTGGAGTGAAACAAGTTCCAGCCAAGAAAGAGGATCTAGTCCTTCGTTTTTCAATTGGTTGAGCAGAAGTTGGAGGACTGGAAAGAGGTCCTCCAGCAGAAGGTGGCGTTGAGGAAGGATGCGACGCTATGGATTGTGCTTGGAGAGTCAACAACTTCTGTTGATGTTGTGCTAGCTGTATTCTTAACTCGCGATTCTCCTTTTGCAGCTCAAGTACTAGCTTGGCCTGGTCAGTTTCTGTCTCAGGCACTGGTAATTGATCCTCATTTGCATCGCTTACCTGTGTCCACACATACAACATATGGCATTATTCAACTTCACAAAAATTTATTTCTCAACATTTGAAGAATCACTAGCTTGAAACGGTGTGATGATCCAACCTTTGCCCGAATCTCCTTGGCCCTATCAGCCCAATGAACTGTGTTCTGTGTTTCACCAAATGAGAGGTTACTTGGGCTTATGTTTGCAATCATGACAGTGTTACAAGTTCCTCCTAGTGAATCCTTGAGAAGTTGTGTGAGTTTTGAATTTCTATATGGTATGTGTTTCTTGCCTTCTACAAGAGCATTAATGCAGCTGCTTAGTGCGAGAAGAGACCGATTTATATTGGCACCCTCAAGAGATCTAAGTGTTCTTTGATCTGTGGCAAGAGCTCTCTCTGATCCTGCAAGATCAATTAACGAGAGCTTACCCACTCGGTTAATAATATTCATTGCAGCATCTCTAACTCGATATTCTACCACAACCTAGATATAACAAAATAAGGAGCACTGGGTTAGTAAGAATAACATGTCACAGTCGCAACATAAAAGATAAAACATAATGCAATACCATGTGTTATAGTACCGTTTTTTAATCATAATTAGAATTTCAAACTAGTAACTCACGTTGATTAGATTTGTCAGCCTCGATATCGCGCGTGCTATTATCAAGGTGAAACTAATTTAAATAGGAAAATAGTAACAAAAGCACTTAAAGTAGTGCACTTTAAGTTTTGTTCAAAACATTTAATGGATACTTCACTTTTCCTCAAAACCCTTGACAGTTAGTTACCTGCAAAATTGCATGGGAACGGGAAGATGTTTCATTTGCACGAGTTGGCTCAGTGGTTCGGTTTTGATTTCCCTGTTGAAGCAATGCCATCACCTGAATCAACAAGAAAAAAAAAAAAAAGAGTTAAAAATGCTAAGGGAAGTTTCAATTCAAACTTGAAACAACTGTCTAAAAAAAGTTATATTCTTCTAAAAAGGATAGATAAAAAAAAAATACTTCATCTGTGGAATAAGCTCTATATTGTGTAAGACCTGCTGCCACAATCCCCTACAACACAATTGAGCAAAATATCATCAGCTATCTTTCAACTAGAAATTCAAATTCAAGGCAAACATCATGATCTCCCAATGCTATTGCCAATCAAAAGCTTATCACATATTAGTAGACTAAACTTGTTTACACAAGCAACAGCATGAACCATCTACTTTCTTTCAAAAGTCATGAATTGAACACATCAACCCAACTTGGAGAACTTGGAAACGATACCTGTTTATCTTCTCTAAGAACCAGCGGCCTTCCAGGGGATAGCAAATCCCTAACTGTTTCATTATAAACCTCAAGATAGGACAAATGAACCACATGGCTTCCATCACAACTCCTCTGCCTGATTTTACTGAAAACATCCTTAATCGCCAAAACCATCACCCCCGGACTCTCCACCGTTCCCAGCATTGTGTAAGTCTTCCCAGCTCCCGTCGCCCCATAACAGAAAACCGACCCATTCCTCCCTTGCAAAACCGCTTCCACAAGTTCTGAAGTCCTGAAAAATCAACCTCAATGTTCACTGAAGCAGAATATTATTAACACATAATTTATAAGCACCCTTGTGACCAATGTTTTACATATGCATCAACACTGTCTCTACATAAACTTCTCCTTAAGCATAATAGAAATTAAGAAGTTAAAAACAAATTAAACTTTTTTCCATAAATAAGTTCAAATTAACAGTAAAATTAAGAATTGTTTTTCACTTATATACTCTATTTTTAGCTTATTCTCTAACACACTCCTCTTGTTGAAATTACTAGAATACACTATGAGAAACGCCAATTCAAACTTATAAAAATTCTTCTCCACTTATATATATTCTATTTTATAGATCTCCACAATACAAGCATAAACAATTCCCAAAAACAACTCACGAGGTGGAATAAACTTCTTGCTGAGTAGCGGAATCTGGAAACGCAGCATCGAAGGTAAAGTGGCGTCCACGAAGCCTATTGAGTCTGAGGTAATCGTTTTCATTGGCAAACTCCGTGAGATAAACATCACGCCGATTAACCATTCTCACACAGCACCGTGAACCCGCTTCCTTTTCCTTCCTATTCATAGGCCTCAGCCTCACGAACACCAGAATCCTGCTCCCGACTTTCCCTGCCTTCTCCGAACCCGCCTCCGCCCCCATCGAGAGCTTCCGCGCCACGGCGGCGGAACACGAAACATTATTATTCGCCGCCGCCATCGCCGTCGCGGTTTTTCTTGGACACGAGAACCCAACGATTCGATCCGCGCCGATGACAGCGTTCTCCTTTGCGTCGTGGTGGTGGTGCGAGGGAGGCTGGGGCAAGACGAAGGTTCTTGTGACGGTTGTGTTAGGCATCGAGTTTTCTCGCATCACGGTCTTCTCATCTTGAAGCTTGAGAGAGGCGTGGCTCTTGAGAGCCACCGAGGCTTGCTTCTGTTGCTCGTATAGGAGAGTTAGGGTTTTCAGCTTCTCCTTGAGGCCGTGGTGCGGGTTCCTCAGCCGCGTCGCCGTCGAGGGATTCGGTTCGTTTTCGCCATTGTTGGTGACGAAGATCTGAGACCGAGTTGAAACCGGCATTGTCACGTTTTCGTTGCTAATTAGACATACAGAGTCACCGAGTTGAACTCAGCTGGAGGAGGAAGAAGAAGAAGAAGAGTGTGTGATTTGGAAATTTGATTTTGGGTGAATCTGAAGCGTTGGATTGGGAGGGAAATGGTGATATTGGGAAGTGAGATTTGTGCTAATGGCACACCGGGTATTAGCTTTGGGTTTGGATATAGGTTGACTTTTAGGGAGTGGAAGTAGTGAAAAGAGGAGGGTTGTTTGATGTATGGGATGTTTTTGAAATATACGTAGGTAACGGTCAAATGTCAGCATTCAAACGGTTACCTGTTGAGTTGTGTGTGGTGTGGTCCCTGTTACGAAATTTCCTGGTGCACGAGAATCCTACCTATTTCATAAATGACCAATTTAATTTAATAACCAAAGTCATAAATGTTAGAATTAGAAATTGAAAATTGGAGTAATGTTGTTTTTTTTTTTTTGATGTTATGTGCTTAGGTGTGTAATCTTGTGTTACTAGTAGGAAACATTCTTTATGTTATGAATGTGTCTTATTGATCTGGTTTTTAAAAATTGAAAAAAAAAATGTACACTTGCATCTTATTGGTTAATTTTCCATATATGATTAATTTGGATGATACATATTGTCTTATTTACTGTTGTGGTACGACCCTTGGCTGCCACAACAGGGTCCGCTCATTCAGTATGCAACTACGTTCGTTCCACCCGTTGAACTTTTTCGGAAGGTCAGAGAATACGTGACTGATCAAGGAGCGTGGAAGAGTGATCAGATTATTAATTGGCTCCCGCAGGAGTCCTTGAACAGCATTGAAACCCAAACTCCCCCCACGATCAGCGCTGGGGCTGATGAAATTCAGTGGAGACTTACTACTGATGGACTTTTCTTCATAAGATCCGCATAGATTCAACCCCCTGTGCCCCTATCTTCAAAGTCCTTTGGAAATGGCAAGGACTAGAGAGGATCAGGCTTTTCCTCTGGCGCGTGGCCCACGAGAGTCTCATGACGAATGAAGCTCGCTTTGGCAGAGAGTTAACGACCAGCCCAATTTGCCCTATCTGCATGCGGGACGTGAAAAATACCATGCATGTTCTAAGAGAGTGCTTTTTTGCTCGCCAAGTATGGAGTTCGATACCCAGGGGAAGCCACATCAGTCAACCCACGGGAAGTAACCTCCAAGAGTGGCTAATCTTCCACCTAACCAGGAATCGTACAGAGCTGATGAACTGACCCCTAACCTTTGCAATCACAATTGATGCATTATGGAGCAGAAGAAACGAAGTTGTGTTTCAGCAGTCATCCCTATCGGCAAGCCAACTAGTACTCAAGGTAATGAACTGTGCGAAGTCTATAATCAACAGTAATAATCCATTTGACGCAGGAGACCAGTCAGATTGCACACTTATCACAAGGAACTGGGTTTGCCCTCCTTCGGGGTTTATCAAGTTAAATGGCGATGGGGCTGTGTCATATTCGGGGACAAGTTCATGTGGGGGCTTAATTCGAGACCCAGATGGGAGGTGCATCATGGCTTTCTCAAGAAAGCTAGACCGTTGCTCTGTCATTAAAGCTGAGCTGTGGGCCATCACCCAAGGGCTTCGATTAATTCACCTTAAAAAATTGGGTACGCACATTTTAATAGAATCCAATTCACTAGAAGCAATCACTCTGCTAAGGAATGGCTGCCCCCGACAGAATGAATGCTTTGATATAGTTCAAGAGATATCAGAGTTAGCGGCTTCCTGTGAGACAGTTTCGTACCTGCATATTGGTAGGGAGGCCAATTTAGTGGCAGATCTTTTAGCTAAACAATGTAATATAGGAGAGGAGAATCTAATTATTTACGATTCTCCTCCTAGTTTCATCTTTCGTGCTTTAGCCGCCGATTTGGCGGGCGGACTCTGAGTTTGTTTTGAGCTCTTAGCCCCTTTCTTTACCAAAAAAAAAAAATTACTGTTGTTAAATAAGATTTTGGATTTGATTTTTGTTGTAATATTTTTTATTCAAATGTAATCATTTTTACAAAAGAAAAATATAATCTTTACAAAAACATTTTATTACTTATAAGATTTTCCATTATAAATTTTTATATAAGATAAATTTGTTTTTAATTTATTTATAAAAAAAATGGACACTTTTTGGTTTAAACACTTTGATAAATAAATAGAGAAAAAATAAATAAATAATTGATATTTTTTTAATATAAACAAAAATATTTTCAAATAAAAATAATTTTGTTCGAAGCGAATAGAATCATGAGGATTGCAGATTTTTTTATGAATATTATATATAGTTATATATCTAAGATTTAAATATGAAATTATTGGTTAAACTAAAATAAATATGTATAACTAATTCATATACTCAGTGAAGGATTTAGAAAATTTTTTAAGCGGAGGCAATAAAATATTTTATAATATTTTTTATTAAAATATTATAATTTTTTAAAAGTATATTTTTGTGATAAAAATTTTTAATATACTTATTTTTATAAATTAAAATTTTCTCATGAATAGAATGACAAATACTCTTTTTTTTCCATCTAATATTATATTTGAGTGTGATGTTATAATTTTTAGTGACTTATTTAATTTTAGAAGAACAAAATGGTATAAATTATTAAGATAAAGATAATATAATTATTATTTATTTTTTTTTTGTATCTTTTCTAAATTTCTATGTTTATTTAAAACAAAAATATTTTATGACAACAATGCCTATTTTTTTTATAAGAGTAAAAAAAATTTTAAATATGTTTAAGTAAAAATAAAAAATAAAAATTTTGTGTGCCAATTACTCTCGTTTTTCTTAATTTGGATTCTCTACTACCAATACATAATGTACATATATAAGATCAAAAGGGTTAAAAATTAAAATAAAAATTAAAAAATAACATATATTTGTAAACTAAATTATAACATCTTTAATGAATAAAAAAATAATAAATCTTTTAGTAAAAAACAGTATATTATAATAATAATAATAATGATAAAAATTAAGACAATTTTATCATAAAATGAAAGAAATTACATTATAGAATAAAATATAAATAAAATATTAATATATTTTAAATAATAGATAGAAAAATAATCATTGTAAAAAAATGTTACATATAATCGCATACAAAAAATATTATTATAGTTTATATTTATACTTTTTTTAATAATATATCAATATATATTGTATTTATAATATACGTAAAAATAGTTTTTAATAACAAGTATCATATTTCTATAAGATGTGTGTCGTTATTTAATATCTCTTTTGTAATAAATTAAAATATAATTTATATATATATATAAGTGTAAAATTTTAGTGAGGGCAACTACCTCCACTATTATATGAATGGATCCGTCGGTGCATATGTTCATTAGTAGTGATTGATATAATTAAGGATATGACGTGATAAAAAAAATGTCAAAGAAAATAAAAGTAAAAGTATTACTTGAATAACACTTGAACATGCAAATTTTAAATGTTTAATATTATAACTTTGTTTGTTTATTAAATAAATAAAATAAATAACAAACAACTTGTGAAATAGATTACATAACTATGATGGATGATAAGAAGAATAGATGAAAAAGTAATGATGGATGATAAGAAGAATAGATGAAAAAGTAAGATAGAAATATTTGAAAGCCTAAAATATTGAAAGCTAGAAACTTACTCTCTTGCTCATTGTTTATCTCAAGTGATTATGAGAAGAAAGAAGTATAAAAGATGTGTAGGAGAAAATTAACTTTTTAATTGTTTAGAATACAAGAAAAGTGAGAGAAGAAGTAAAATAAATAATGAATTAATTGGTTGCTGAAAGGGGAATGCACAGAAAGAAAATGGAATAATCAGAAGAAAGAGAGATTATCAGAGAGAATTGAGGCAAAAACTATCATTGTTGTCTTATTCCATCATCATTTCTGCCTATAAAGTGCCATACGCACTACATGCAACATAAAAAAGGAATCAACGTTTGTTAGTCGTGCTCCTATATTGCCTAACTGCTCCTTGCAAGGTTGCCACGTGGTTAATTGGTTACGTAGTCTTTGAGCCAAAAGGGTTTGTTCCTAATTCTCTGGGTTCTGGTACCGGTTTCTAGGCTTTCTTGTGCATGCTGATTTTCTATGCTGGGCTCCACGTTTGTGGTATCAGTAATGGGCCTAACATCTCCTTCCCCATCGAGAGTCACCTTGTCCTCAAGGTGGAACTGGGCCTGAATTTGAGACCAAGGCTCCCAACTTGCCTCTTCCAAAGGAAGTCCTTCCCACTGAATCAAGACTAACTGTTGTGGGTTGGGGGTATCTGAGGACATCTTCCAATTGAGAATAGCAACTGGAGTAAGAATGGGTTGGTTGTCTTCAATCTCCGGAGGAAGGTTGAGTGGTGGAGGGGATGGAAGCGGTCCCTGGTGAGGACGAAGGAGGCTGATATGAAAGACATTATGTATTTTTGCAGATGGAGGGAGGTCCAGTCGGTAGGCAACTGCACCAATCTTCTCAAGCACGCGGAAGGGACCAAAAAACCGTTTTTGCAACTTGCCAAGGTATTGGCCCGTGACAGAGCTTTGGCGGCGAGGGCGGAGCCTGACATAAACCCAATCACCCACATCGAAACTGAGGTCACGGCGGTGGGAGTCGGCCCAATGTTTCATGTTCTCTTGTGCTTTGAGGAGGTTGGAGTGTAACTTTGTCATGATCTCCTCGCGAGAATGGACCTCAAAATGAGCTGCTGCATTAGTTGTTTCCGTGTTCAAAATCTGAGGAATGGAAGGAGGGGGACGGCCAAACATGACTTCGAAGGGAGTGTAACCCGTGGAGGAGTTAAGAGAAGTATTAAAGCACCACTCTGCCCATGGTAGTAGCTTTCCCCATAGAGAGGGACGATGATGAACAAAGCATCGCAAATATTGCTGTAGTATCTTATTTGTGACCTCAGTTTGGCCGTCTGTTTGTGGATGGTAAGCGGTGGACATGCGCAATTTAGTACCACTCAGACGAAAGAGCTCCCTCCAAAACTGACTGAGAAAGATGGGATCACGGTCTGAAATTAGACTACGGGGTAGGCCATGTAATTTGCAAACCATATGAGTAAAGAGGTCAGCGACCTTGGCAGCAGTAAAGGAGCGTGGCAACATACCAAAGTGCGCTCCTTTTGAAAATCGATCCACCACGACTAATATAGTAGTGTGACCCTGATAGGGCGGTAGTCCGATGATAAAATCGAGTGACAGATCCTCCCAACATCGTGAGGGT